GCCGCTGTAACTTGGCCACAGAGTATGCATACTAAAGAACTGTACAATCCAGCTATACAAAACTCTGCATTACTCTTATGAAGATCACTTTTGTACCTTCAAATTTGTAACATACAGTCAACACAGGTGTGGTGTAGCAGTCATGATTTTTATTTTCCAGATTTCAACTGGTTTAGAGAGTCTCAAACGCAGTGGCAAAAGATCTGAGGATTGGCCTTCTTTAGTGGATTTAGGCAGAGAGCAAATAAATTGAGACCTCTAGAGAGCAGTCAGGGTGCCCATGAGGTAGAACAGTTATAAAATATTCAAGGCTTGTGCAGATAACATCTGCATCTGAATCCTACACACAGATCCATTTTCTAACCTCTGCAGATGGGCATACTGGTAAATGGCATTTCAAATATTCATTAAAGAAAATGTGACATTTGAAATAGAGACATCAGGCAAACTAATGGGATGGACTGAGTGAGACCTTCTGGATTCTATTCCCAAGGTTCCCACTGACTTAGCGTGTAGCCTTTGTAAGGTCACTTTCTCAATGTGCCTCAGTTTATCCAACAGGTCAACTCCACCTAATGCACATATTAATTACTTAATATTTCAGAAATGCTTTGATCTACAACAATGGTTCCCAACCTTTTTCTGCGACCTGCTGCTGGGAGCGGAGTGCAGTGGCGGCAGCAGCCCGGGGGCAAGGGAGCTCCTGGCACGCGGCGCAGCTTGTTGTTTGTGTGTGGCGCCGCTGACACTGCCCCCACAACCCTCATTTGGGTCACAACCCGAGATTGGGAACTGCTGACCTAGAAATACAAACTACTATTACTAGTCCTTGCAGGGAGTAGCTACACTTGTGCTGCATCTGAAATACAAGTAAAATACATTACGCACTAGATTGCCAACAATAGTTATTTATTTTTTAACACTGATTAGAAAACTACCTCAGAAGAATTACATTCACTCTCTTTTTCTCCAACCACCAAAATAACTCCAAGATCTGAGAGCAACCAGGAGGGAATTTAGCACATGAAACATCTCGGTAACTGCTACCTGTCCTAAAACAGGGCTACACTTAATGCTTTGTGACCCGGAAGTATTATACTTACAGCACCACAAAATTAAAAGCTGCAGGAAAATAGAGAATAAAAGACAAATAAAAACCCAAGCTTACGAGTGCATTTCTATTTAATGACTGAAAAAGCATAGGTTTTAAAAACAAAATATAGTTTGAATAGAGCTTTGCTTTGGTTTTTCGGCATATAAATATTTCACATCAGAATCTCCCAAAGGGTACTATTTTAAAACAAGACGATGCCAAACATGACAAAATAAAAGTTCCAACAAGCCATTTTATTTATTAGACTGCTTTGTGTTCATGTCCCCTGCTTGTCAAACTCCTCGACACTCCCAGTATGGTAAACACATAATAGATACGCTGCTGCTCGTGCTGTGGACTTAATCTTTCTAAAAGAAGCTGTGCAGCACAGCGTGCAGCACTAGCAGGGGAAGGAAAAAACATTTTTACCAATCTATCTTAATTTTACCTGCTATTCTCCATCTTGTAACGATATGCGTCTTTCAAGTACTTCAGTCATTCCACTCAGGTTTTTGCTTCTTTCTTTCCCTGCAATACACTAAGCTAGCCAATGCAGTGCAAGTTTTTTTATAGGTGGTAAAAAGTTTATGACTGAAATATTTTAATAGTGGAGGTATTTTAAAATCAATTTCAGATGGGTTGAGAGAGATTATTGGTTTCTTTAACATATAATAAAAAGTATAGCTCTTGCTAAAAGCTTTGACCTTCAGAAAGTAACAGCATTTTAATTTAATCCATTTTTCATACAGACAAGAAAGCATTTTTAAATATTTAAACAAAAAATAGAAGGGGTGAAGCAAAGGTGGTGCACATATTTAGAAACACTTAGACAAGAGGTAGGCTCAAGACTAGACTGTGTTATGGGTTGAACAGCTTAATACTTCATTCAGAGATGAAAGGAGAAATCTTTTAAAAGCTTGTGACAAAATGAGAAAGATTCCAAGTACCAAATAAAGACCTAGGATTTTGAACACCCTGAATTTAGAGGTTGCACAAGTCTGGAGCTTTCATTCAGACTCACTGCTCCATAATAAGCAAGGAATTCATAGTGAAAATTGAGAGCATCTTTCCTGATGAACTTCTTAAGATACCTCAAATATTGCATTGTAACACACAGGCCATCTAGAACAGACTTACAAAGTCCAAGTGTGATATCTGTCTCATTTATTTGCTTTAAATTTGTTTTTTAGAATACTTAAACACTATAAAAAGTTCTCTGGGTCATCCCTAGTCTTAAGTGACATAAAATCATGTTGAATGTCAACCAGGAGGACTGGATAACAAAACAAGCGTTGACACCGCTGTGTAGGGAAAGGAGAAGTACTGGGGTCCTAACTATTCAGTGCAAGCTATAAAACCCACAGGGAAATTGAAATGGTGTATTTTTCTGTTTACCTTCAGGTGACAATGTCCAAACACTTTAACACATTGCTGAATGGCTGTTACAAAAACTCCTGTCACTAAGAATAAAAATAATGAATGGATGGATATTCAGGCTGGACCTTCTGCCATTTGCCAGTGGTCTCTCGCATATAAATTTTAAAATAGCTTGCCAGGAACATGTGGACAATGTAAACATATATATAATCAGGCCTGGAAATCATCAGCAGAGGCAATCTTGTAAACAGAACCCCTCAGCTCCCAAATACAGACACGTTCAATTTCTGCCAGTGTTTCTTAAAGGACACAGGGTCGTTGGCTGAAGTCAATTTTCAAGTTATTTTTTTAAAATCAACCTCTTGGCTCACTGCCACTGGTGAATGCTGTCTTTCCCAAAAAGCTTATCTTCAAATTAAATCTTAAATTTAAACAATATGGCACATCTTAAAATCTCAGTTCTCCAAAATATGATAAAAGATGCTTCCGATTCCATCTGCCTCGTGATCTGACGTGCAGCTTTAAGTGCTAACACCCCTTCATGCCATATATCAACGGCGCTGATTCTCTTCTAAAGTGCAAGGCTTCAGTTTAAGAAAAACTTGATTCCAATACTTAGACAACATATTTTAACATATAAAAAGACAGCTTTCTTCCTCTTTTCTTCACTGTATGATTTTCCCCCTCCTATAAGACCAGCAAGCAATATTTTCATAAACTGGAAAGTGAGCGCTCAGCAGCCAGCTGAAAATAGGCAATGCATCCTTTCTGTGCAGTGGGACAAGTCTGCCTAAAGGAAGGGAAGGTTGGCTCTTGGGCAGGGGGTGCTTTGTAGGCCTGTGCAAATAGGGAAGTATTCAATATGGATTCGGATCTGGCTAATTCACAGGACAGTGATTCGATTCGGATCACTGTTCTGAATCGATTTGGCCAAATCAGCTTTGGAAGATTCGGTGCTGATTCAAACAGATTTGGCAATTTGGATTGGACAGGGAGAGGCAGGCACAGCCGAGCAGCTCCTCCGGCTGTGTCTGCCTCTCCACGGGCAGGGGGAGCCACAGGAGAAGCCCCCATGGCTGCCCTGCGCGATCCCACCCCCTGCCCAGCCCCAGCCTAGTCCTAGCATTTTCTTTCTTTTTTCTTTTTTTTTAAAGCCCAGCACTCACCGGCTGCAACAGCAGTGACTGGAGCCTCTGGGCACTCATGGCAGAGCACCCCCATGCAGCGCAAGGCAGCGGGGATCGGCCCCCGCTTGGCACCTTTACAGCAGCTGCCCCTTGGCACAGGTACAGCGCGGCTCGGCAGGGCGCTGCACACTGTCTAGCAGCTGGAGCTGAGCACTGCCGGGCTCCGGCTGACTGCTGGAGCTGCCCCAGCTCCCAGAGAGCGTGTGGTGCCCTGCCAATCTGTGCTGCACCCATGCCATGGGGCAGCCACCATGTGGGTACCAAGCGGGGGAAGGGAGGGTGATCCCCATTGCCCCCTGCTGCATGGGGGGAGGGGGCTCTGCCACAAGCCCCCAGAGAACCCAATCACAGATGCCAGAGCTGGTGAGTGCAGAGCTTTTTTTTTAACTGCCAGGAGGCTGGGGCCAGGATGGGAAGGGGGATGGGGCCAGGGTCAGGCAGGGCAGCCATGGGGGCTTCTCCTGCAGCTCCTCTGGCTGT